ACTCATTGTTTTTACTATTATTATATTAGGGTTGATAATCAGATGCATAATGGATTTCATCAGATTGTTCTGTTCCCCACTCCTCCTCCCTCAGGAGAGCTGGATACTAATTTCCCAGTCATCAGTTGTTTTATTGAGAGACTCCCACACAATTCACCACTAGCTACTGTCTTTAGAGTGAGTTAATGGGAGGATAAATAGTCAGGGTTTATGCTTCATGAGCTCATAAGCACTGCAATACAGTACAGCAACTTTAAAAATTCATAGAAAATCTGATTTTGATTGGAACTAGCTCAAAGTTGATACACAGCTTAAGAACATGTATATGTATCAGAAAAAAATAATAAAAATGGAGAATTCTTTCTTAGCTGTTTTGAAACTGTACATGCATGCACAGTTTCCTATAGCTCTGCAAGTTTATTTTATATCATGATAGACATTTGATGTGAAGATCAAACAGTTTACTGTTCTACTTGAGGAGAAGCTGTTATTCCGATTGATCCAGTGGTCAGGCTATGGCATTAGAAATAATGACAAAGATGCCGATACTATCAAATCACTTCTGATACCTAAAAAGCACTGGTAATGTCCCACTGTAATGTCTCTCCTTTCTTTCTCTCTACACTTTTTCCCTTTATTGTGACAATGCCTCTCACCCCCCTCTCTCTCCATTTATTGCTTCTATTATGATAATTTTCTCCTGCCTCTGTCTTCCTCTTCTCTCTTTATAGGGGTAGTTCATCAGTCTTGCCATCAAGACAGATATACATTGAGCAGCTACGGATCAGTACCAGTGAACTGTTGGTCAGTATGCACACCACGTCACAGTTACCTGAGGATCTAGCAGCCATTAAAAAGAGTCTTGGTTTTCCTCTGGTCCAGTTTGAGTCTCCTATCATACTTGAGGGATTTAATAAGTCGCACATGTTGGGTAGACCTGTAGTGTTTGTGGATTCCATTACTAAACATTATAAGAAAGTAAATCAGGCTCTTTATTAGTTTATATGCTGTATCTACTCTCTCTCTCTCTCTCTCTCTCTCTCTCTCTCTCTCTCTCTCTCTCTCTCTCTGTCTGTCTCTGTCTCTGTCTCTCTCTTTCTCTCTCTCTCTCTGTCTCTGTCTCTCTCTCCTCTCTCTTAGGTTATGAAAGGTCAAGCTGTCATGATATTAGGATCAGTTGATTTCTTGGGCAATCCTGTTGGTCTCATCAGTGATGTGGCATCAGGTCTGTGACAGATCTGTGAACAATAATGTAAC